TAGCTAAATATGTGTTTGTAGAGGCAATTAACACTCACTGTATATGTTCATAAAACCTATAACATCGCTGGATCCAATAACAACTAACTAATGCCGATAAACTTTTTAGCACTCTTTATTAATGTACTCTACATATTTATTACCGCTAAAAACTGTTTTTGTTATAATATTTACAAACTATAGTAATTTTTCTAAAATTTGGATTTATAATATTTAAAAGTATGATATAATAAAATTGTCATCTTATATATTGTTCCGTAAGAATGCCAAATCTAAAATAAAAATGGACGCAAGAAGTAATCAGTTTGATAGACTACTATTCTAAAGTCAATTGCCCATATAATATCTTGACTTTCTTGTAGAGTCCATGCTAATTATCGCTATAACCCCTATCTAAACATACGCTTTGACTTAACCCACTCCAATGTAGTCTTCACGTAGATATTAAATTTTACAACGTTGAATTTGAAAAATAAAATAAAATTGACATTAACAGATAACAACTTGCAATTAATTACTTTGACAAGAAATTATTTCAATTCTGCAATAATTGTCAAAAGTAAGAAATATTGAACCTTTGTATCTCTTTTGATATTTATAAATCCCCACGATGGGAGCCTTTGACAAAAATAAAATAAAATAGTAAAATATATGATGTCTAGATGAACTTGACATTAAAAGAGATACTCCATATATAGGCAATTCAGCATCACATATATAAATGGTAGTCGTCCTTCTTTATATTATATTTAATATCAAATAAAAAATAAAAATTAGCAACAAATAAATTTTTTAGTTATATAATTAGTGATATTCACAAATATGTTAGCTATTGGAGTAACTATTTAGATGACATTTTTTTTACTCAGCCCTATGAACTCCCTTAAATTCTGCTTATCATGACTTGAATTCATATCCTCAAGGTAAAAAGTGAATGATATTTATCATTTGAGCAACTTTCTTTTTTTATTTAACAACAAATTAGCAATGAAATTCAAATCTAATTTTCGTTTTTTAGATAGAGATTGTTCCATTGATTCATATCTAGTAAATCCATCTCCTAATTTATTTATTTTCCTCTTCATCCTCCCATTTTTTTTATTTTTTGGTGCTCCCGACAAATAATAATGAGGAGTGGAGGTAAAGTTAAATACTGTGGGGAAATTTCATATGTAGACTAAATTATTTTGAAATTGTTTTTTGAAATAATAATCTTTAATTAGTTTATAGTTAAAATAATCTCAAATTGAATAAGATAAGGAAGGATATTTCAGGAATAAGTCTGGAATAAAATTTATGTATTACATTTAATTGACACGATATAAATTTACTCTTCAACTAATTACAATTATAAATTTTATTCTGAACTTAATTTTGAAATATCCTATGTTATTCCGTAACCAAAAGATCCCTTCAAGTAGCTCGGGTTGTGTGCACAAATAGGTGAAAGGCGTTTTTAACTAAGATTTTGTGTCAGATGACATAAGTTGCGTGTATCAAATTTTTCTTTCTGAATGTAGAGACTATGGGGTGGGTGAGTCTACATCCCGGATGTGGTGTTTTATAAGCCCTGACCTTGACTATATAATGCCTGGAAAAATCGACATTGAGATTCGTGTCAGTATTACACTACTCAAAATTAATCCTGCCCTTTTACTCACCGACCCAAGTTGTGGTGCAATGATGAGACTACTTCATTCTTAACTAAAGTCTTAGGTTCGAGATCTGAATATGGAGAAAAACATGTTGAGAGCATCACTCCGAAATGGACACTACAATGCGCAATCTGAAATATAGTTAGAGCTTCAATGTGAGTTCCAAACACCGGGTAGGAAAAAAAAACCCTGCCCTTTTACTCGATTCACTGCTCTTTTTGTTGCCCTTATAAATATGGATCTCTGTTCATATGTCATATGTGTGGACCCCAGGGGGTTATTTTATCCCAAAAATAAAATAGACCTTTTTTAACTTTTAACTTATAACTTTTGATTTTCAACATTATTAACTAGTTGATGGTTATTGAAAAGAGTCTTGTTTATCTCTCGGATAAGAATAAAGTTTGTATACATTCTATCCTCTTCATACCTACTTTATTGGACTACATTGGGCAAGTGGTTGTTGTTGCTGCTTCAACTTTTGATCTTCACTTGTTTTATGAACAAATCTTCAAAGTTAAAAGTTAAAAACTTATTAAACATCAAATTTTGTTCACAGAGTAAGTGAATTTAAAGTTCAAGATCACACACCTCCAAAACTATTTTTGTAAATTACATGTTAAAGTATTTCGTTTCTAACCCACTTGTAATCAAAGTGACCCGATTTTGTCCTTATGAACTAATGAAAGTAGTTGAATGAAAAAGTTGGATCATTAAAGTCTAAAGGCAAATTTGACCTTTGAAACTTCACAGTTAACTACTAGACATTTTGAAAAATGGAGAAGAGTCAACTATTCATGTACTATGAAACAAGTACACCATATGGTGAATGAATGAGAATAACTTGATGTTCACTATTCTGGGTTCACTGGAGACGATGCCACTATTCTCTTCCAATATTTGATTGTAATACATGACTATGTGGCTTTATTCTCACAAGACAATGCAATTTTTGAAAGGCGAAATACATATATAATCGCTTAAACTCGTTATCAATTATCAAGTAGACGCTTTAACTATACTTATAACCAGAGAAACACCTCTACTTGAGAGTTGGTAGCTAGTTTAAGGGCTATCTATATGTTTCGTCTTCTTGAAACACAGCTGAAGGAATACAAAATGAGTCCAACTAGCAGTAATTAGAATGGTATCTGGTTGACACGATCAAGATGAATTGCCCTTTATGCGGTCAACAAACTCATACTAATGCTAGGACTTGTCGCAAGCTAATTTGGAAATGAAAGAAGTCTACCGAAAGCCCTTGATACTTGGAAATGAAAGAAGTCTAACACTGTTTGGCCATTCGGCCATCAGTTCGTTAGAAATGGCCCAACACCCATTTCATTGCCCGCTTTAGCCACACATTTTCAAACTACTCCAATATCTTCAAAAAACTCCTTGAGCAACTTCATTTCCTCATTGTTGAATACTTTATCTTTGCTATTAAGAAAACGAAGGATAAACATCATTAATATATGCATGTGTAAAAATACACAGATCCTAAGCCAAGTACCAATGGGAAGGTTGAATCCTCACTTGGTAGTACATAGTTCAAGGCTAGTGCAAAGGGACAAGTAGAATAACAACTTTTCTCATTACTAATGAACAAATGGAAAATAAACTACTAACTGCAGTTTCTCATTACCAGGATCTAGGGAAAGGCTTTTTTCTCACCCCGTGACTCATTGCATTGAATTGAACCACAAGCACTCTGAAACTGATAACATTTGAGATTATGCAGGAAGGGAAGCCAGAAAATCAAGGGAATCGACGTATAACATAATATTAAAAGAAGAAATAAGGATTAGACAATTGAAAGTATCTGAAAAAGGAAATTATGTTGTCTTAGTTTACTAGAATCCCTTAGACTCGGGGAGAAACTAACATAACAGGTATGTAGATTTACAAACTTATAGTAAGTAAGAAGCAAAAAGAGAAAGACTGATAAATCCGCGATGCATCTCATGAAAAAAATACTCAAATGCTAGGAACTTATATTACTTCTGATTAAATCCTGTAAAGGAAATTAAAATCTATGTAACATATTGACAAGTTTATTCCTCGTCTCGTCTTCCACAAAGAACTCAATGAGGTGGGTTGAGAACCATGAAGTCTCTAATTCAAATCCTAGCAGAACCAAAAACACTAGAGATTTATTTCCATCTGTCCTACTCCTACCCTTGGTAGAGAGTTACGCGGTAACTTGTTGCTGGTGGGAGATGACAACTATCCCGTTGAATTAGTCGAGGTTCGTGCAAGCTGGCCCGAACACCACGATCATATAAAAAAACAAGATATATTGACCTCTATGAATGTCGAAAACATTATTGGTCACTCATATCCATGTTTGGAATTGAACTGTCATCATATTCTGCTTGCAATTAATATTCCAAAGGTCTTTATCCACAAGTGGATAGTAATAGGACCTAGGGTGTGTTTGATACGAAGGGCAATGTTCCTTAGAAAATATTTTTTTCGAAAAATAATTAAATTTCTAACAAATTTAGTGGTACGTAAATAAAAACATATTGTCCCAAAAACATTTATATATAGTTTAGGAAAACACTATGGGGGTGAGATGATGCAGGGAGTTGGAGTTAGGGGGTGGAGGGGGGCCATTGGGGGTGGAAGGAGACAATGAGCTTGGAAGGCCACTTATGGAACTTGTTTTCTACTTCTATTGGGAAAATCATTTTCCTCATTTTTAAGGAACTTGTATTCCTACATTTGACCGATCAAACATAGAAAAATTGAAAATATTTTCCTCTATACCAAAAGACGCCCCTAAAGGCACCACACTTTGAGAAATCCAACTCGAAGCATCATATATAACCCAAAACACTGAGAGGACCAAATGACTAACAATTTTAGATTACCAAATCTATAAGGCAGAAATGCATCAGACGCTTAACATTAAAGCAAACAGGGAGAACAAAGGTCCAAATTTCAAATGACTTATTCACTGTATATCCAAATACGCAAAACATGTTTACCTGTTGCATTCTGATCGTGAATGCATCCATCTTCACTTGAGTCCTTTGGCCAACTTGTATATCCATGCGGGCACGCTCCTCTTCTAGTTTCCTTAGTAACCCAGAAGTCACTTGTCTTCTTTCTTTGCAACTCAGCAGCCACTTGCTCACGTTCTTCCAGCAATATTCTTTCCATTTTTTCTTGCATCTCTTGGCACATACTTCCCATTGTAGAAGACATACTTGCTTGTAAGTCTACCAGTTGCACACAACTCTTTTCTGGAGGCCTCTTTCCATACCCTTTTCAACGAACATAGTTAGTCTGATCACCAAGTATAGTGGTTAAAATCTCACCTGCAACTGATTGAATGCTCATTTTCTTCAGATTGCTGTTGAGCCACAATTTCCTGGAGCTGGCCCTTCAAACAGTTAATATTATAAAATAGGAAGCATATAACAATATAATAGAAAAATGAATCAGAAAATTATATGAATTTTGTGTTGCCTTAGTTCCATTATCAGGATCTCTCTATGATATATTACAAAAGATGAAAATATTTATACTATAAACTCATAATAATTATATAGTGGTTTTGGTAAATGTATTTGTACCAATGATTCCTTCACTTCTGTAAATGACTTTGAGCCACAAGAGTGCTTAGTTATTTGTTTTTCCCGGTTAGCTTGTTCCACTCATTCATAACCTGCAATTAGATAAATACATTAAGGACCAACACTTAAATAGTAGTTTATCATGCATTCCTATTATCAAGTTACCTTGAATGCGGGACTTCTAAAAAGTCCTACAAGAAACACCCAGTCATCAGGTGTAACATCATACAGTTTATGGAAGGTCTCTCTTTATCAGTGGCATAACGGGAGTAGTCAGCATGCATCGAGTGTTCCATGCTCTAAAAAGCCTTTGCATAGTGTCAGACTGTCAATCACAATGGCTTGCAACACATGTTCTCGCATACCACTAGTTTCAAGTTTATCCTGATAAAATATGTAAAACTATTGAAAGTAATAACACATGCAACAAGAAGTTAATTTGACATTGAAAGTAAATTGTTACCTTAACCTTCAACTACATCGCTTCTCCATGTTTTTGTAATTATTGCCTGCCAATTATCATCTCTGAACAATATAGTGTGCCGCATAATCAAGCCACAATAGTTAACAATATCTCTAGACCCAGGAACTACAACTCTCACCATGTCATCAGGAATGACAATGGAAAATTTTACTACCATGCTTAGTTTTCATGTCCACATGTAAAAATTTGTATCTCCCCCTCTGCCTTTCTTAGATTTGTTGCAAACTGTGAAGCAAAAGATCCACATGAACCCTTGTTAATTAACTGTTGTCACTGCTCTTATCATTAAATAGGACCACTTTAAACATTTCACGTACCCTTCCTTTTTTACCTTTTGAATCAACTATCTTGATGCAAAAAAAGCAGATGATGAGATATATCCTAAATGAAAGCAAAAAAATGGAAGATTTTTAATCTTTGTTTCAGTTTTATTTCAAAACTCACTACTTTTCAGATGCTAGTTTCCAAGGAAGTAGTTGCTCAGTAGGTAAACTGGCCATAAAAATTTCTCACATGATATTGCTCCCAGAAATGCCAACTGAAATCATAATTCAATTTCAATTTTAACCAGTAGTAAGCCAAACAGTAATAGATTTAGGATCCTTCAATCTATTGGCCTCGGGAATTACTAATTCTGATCTAACAAGTCATTCTAAGATATTAAACAGTGAGAAAAAGTTTCAGTACATCTTCTTCTGTGGGTTTATGTGGTGGCTTCAGTTTTTGATTTTTCAAGTTCTAAGATGGCGTTGAACCCGAATTCAGTTCCCGGAGCAAAGGATGACATGAGTTCATCCGCAGTTTGTGTGATGCTAATCTTGTTATCCTTCACCGCCAAATTCTCCTTCTTCACATAATCAGCAAGAGTTAAGTTGATAATTTCTCGTATTACAGAATTGGTAACTCGCTCTTCACCAAGTATCTGCGGTAGAAATTCCCTAGGAACCTGGGATGTTTTCCCTCCTTTTTCCCTGCGGAAGCCTGGAATTGGTTGCTCTGATTTTGCTAATTTTGTCAAAACGCTGTCGAAAACCATTTCTGTGTACTCCTCGTTCACATCTACTCTGACTTGTATCTTCTCAGCTTCTTTGGATTCAACAACTATCTTTGCATTTTTAAGGCGTTCATCAGCCAAATCTGCCTCTAGCCCTGAACTAGCAGCCGATACTGGTTTCACCAGAGATCTTACGCATCCTTGCGAGGATATACAGTGCTTCAATAGCCCCTTATTTGTAACTGCTGTTGCTGGGTAAATTGCCACATTCTTGGGGATAGTGCTGACGGTACTATAGCGAGAGTCGATAAGCAGCCGGCGGGACGGCGACGCCACTGCAGTGGTCATGGTCATTGCCATAGTTCCCTCGGAAACTATGAGAGCCTTTTTAACTTCTACAGTAATTTGCGAGTGTGAGAACTGAGAAGAAGATCAGACGCGAGAAATTCAAAGATAAGATTATGTAGGGCATTTGATTTTGCACGGGACGGCAGTAGCGCGGACGCGGGTCATTCACACGAATACCCTTAAATTAGAGTGATGTTTAATTCTGCCCCCTTAAAAGGTGTTCAAAATCGCGTACTAATCAATAAAATCGCAAAATTGACTTATTAGTTTATTGGCATTGGATTATCAAACACATAATTAAGTAATGAATTGAAATTTTATAATTAATGATTTATTGAATTGAAAGCGAATCACTCAAATTTTTTTTTATCCAATAAATCATTAACCCATTAAGAATTATCATACTTACCCTTTTACCCCTAAATATATAAAGTACATATTATATTATTATTATGAATGCTAAAGGCTAAATCCCCATTTAAAATTATGCTATAAATGTTTCTACATGATCTAAGGCATTGATGGAGGGGTTTTTATTTTTTTATTTTTTATCTTCACTTGATTCACGTTTAAAGGTCCTTCATCGAGATCTAAATGCAAGCAATGTTCTCTTTGATGGTATGAATTCAATAATTTCAGATTAGCAATGTTCATGGCTTCATGCAAGTATAGTGTAAGATGCGTTCATCGAAAAAGAAGGTATCATAAAGGTTAGTCGATATGTTGGCCAATAATTTTTAGATAATTGTTAATTCATTAGCGAATCAATCAACATCTTATCAGTTTACTAGCGGATTAGTACATTTAAAAATCACTAACTAATAGATCAAATTATAAGGTGAAATTATTCGCTCAATAAGCAGCCCCACCTCAAAATATGTTATTCAATTTTTATCTTTCGACATTTTAGTACTCACTTATTTCATTTTTATTTGTCTAACTTGACACATTCTTTACGAAACTATAAATAGAATGAACAAAATTATTATATCAAAACAAATTAATTTCTTAAAATCTATAACTTTGAGATAATTATAGTTGAAGTTGGAGTAATAATGAATGGGTTCTTTTTATATAAAAAAAAACATTTGTTCTAAATTTTAAAAGAATTCATAGATTAGATTTTAGCCCCAAAATTACCTTCTTTTTTCTTTTTCATTTTTTTTTAGTGTTTGGGATTTTGAATCTTTTACCAAAAATTGACAACAATTTTGTCAATTTCCCTCATCCAAAAAACTAGACTTGCTATATCTATGGCCAGACGGGTCATTCAAGTCGCGTGCCCCGTTTTCACAAAGATCAACAAAGGAAGCCCATAGTTTTTATGACCAATATTCCCTCAGGAAACTAATAAATACCGTCCAAGACCATTTGAACCTTCAAATTTCAGAACTCCATTTTGGCAAACCATCTCCCTCCCTACCCTCCAGATTCTTCTTTTCCCGCTGACACTTCTCCGCTACTCTCAGTAAATTCTCTTCTCCGGCGCCGCCGTGGAAAGCGTTGTTGTAGAAGGTTCGTCGTCCTCTCTAGTTACTCTTTTCTCGCTTTTTCATGAACTCTGTTTACATGCGTTTCGCAAGTATAGTGGATCCCGGGCTGGATTAACGAGAAGGATTGTGGTAGATGGACGACTAGGTTAAAGATGATTAAATTATGACTAAAATGAGTGTAATGTAAAGAGTTTTTTCGTAGATATGAGGAATAATTGAGTTGTGTTTGTGTTGTGTTGAGCCCTAGGTTCGGCTTTCGTAAGAAGAGAGGGATGGTGGTTCAATGTAGCAGATTTGGTCATTTATCGTTGCCAATTCTGTAATTTCTGGGATAATGAAGTATAAATGGTGATCATATTCTTACATATATTTATGTTTTTGCTAATACATTATACATTGATGCATGAAATATGTAATCTGCATAAACTTTTACATCTAATCAATGGTTGATTAGTATGCTCTGTAATTATTTTCTAATATTGAATTTGTGAACAAACTAGTGCTGTTGTGATTTCGACTGAAAAATCACTCTCCTTATATGACTATTCTTCTTATGCTAAAGCTAATGCTCTTTCATGTTCTTGTATGCTAAAGTTTTTCATGATTCACTTCGTTCATGTTCTGTCATTTTGAATGGTTCTTTTGAGCTTTATCATTTTGGTAAATGATCTGTACCATCGGATTCCTTCACTTCTGCAAATGACTTTGAGCTACAGCCTACATGAGTGCTTAGTTATTTGTTTTCACCAGTTTAGTTAGTTCCTCTCACTCGTAACCTGCAGATAAATACATTAAGGACCAACGTTTAAATAATAATATATCATGCATTTTTTTATCATGAAGTTACCTTGAATGCTGGACTTCTAAAAAGTCCTACCAGAAACACCCAATCCATCATGTGTAACATCATCCGGCCTATGGGCGGTCTCTCTTCATCAGTAGCATAGCAGGAGTGGTCAGCATGGAATCGAGTTTCCATGCTCTAAAAAACCTTTGCATAGTGTCTATGTTATGAACCTGCCTGGCCCAATCAACCTTTGTGAAGGCCTTCCATTTTTGTTGCTTCTTCTCGGCCCAATAACTAGTTGTGCGACATCCGAGTAGGTAGCGACGTTGGGCCAAGGCTGGTTCATAACAGTCTATCACAAGAGCTTGCGACACATGTTCTTGCATACCACTAGTTTCAAGTTTATCATAATAAAATATGTAAAGCTATTGAAAGTAAATAAAACGTGCAATACAGAAGTCCATTTGACATTGAAAGTAAATTGTTACCTTAACTCTCAACGCTTCTCCATGTTTTTGTAATTATTGCCTGCCAATTACAAAATTTGTATCTGGAATGACTATGGGAATTTTACTTCTGGTCTTAGTTTTCATGTCTACATGTAAAAAATTGTATCTTCCTCTACCTTTCTTAGATTGTGGCAAACTGTGAAGCAAAAGATCCACATGAACCCTTGTTAATTACCTGTTGTCACTACGATTATCACTAAATAGGATCACTTTAAGCATTTCAAATACCCTTCCTTTGTACCACTTCAATCAACTATCTTGATGCCCAAAAAGCAGATGATAAGATATATCTTCAATGTAAGCAAAAAAATGAAAATATCTGGCAACAAAAGTTTCTTCAGATGATATTGCTCCAAGAAATACCAACTGAAATCATAATTCAATTTGAATAGAGAACTGAAATGCCAACTGAAATCATAATTCAATTTCAATTCTAACCAGTAGTAAGCCAAACAGTAATAGATTTTAGGAGCCTTCAATCTATTGGCCTCAGGAATTACTGATGATTCTATTCTAACAAGTCATTCTAAGAGTTTAAACAGTGAGAAATCTCATCTTCTTCTGTGGGTTTATGTGGTGGCTTCAGTTTTTGATTTTTCAAGCTCTAAGGTGGCATTGAATCCGAATTCTGTTCCCGGAACAAATGATGACTTGAGTTCATCCGCAGTTTGTGTGGTGCTAATCTTGTTATCCTTTACTGCCAAATTCTCCTTCTTCACATAATCAGCAAGAGTTGAGGTAACAATTTCTCGTATTACAAAATTGGTAACTCGGTCTTCACCAAGTATCTGCAGTAGAAAGTCCTTAGGAACCTTTGATGTTTTCCCTCCTTTTTCCCTGCGGAAGCCTGGAACAGGTGGCGCTGATTTTGCTAAATTTGTCAATACTTTTTCGAAAACCGTTTTTGTGTCCTCTTCGCTCACATCTACTCTGACTTGTATCTTCTCATCGTCTTCGGATTCAACAGCTATCTTGGCATTTTTAACGCGTATCAAGGATTCATCATCACCCAAATCTGCCTCAAACCCTGAACTAGCAGCCGATACTGGTTTCACCAGAGATCTTAGGCATCTTTGCGAGGATATACAGTGCTTCAATAAACCCTTATTTGTAACTGCTGTTGCTGAGTAAATTGCCACATTCTTGGGGATAGTGCTGATTGTACTATGTCGAGAGTCGATAAGCAGCCGGCTCGACGGCGATGCCATTGCAGTAGTCATCGTCATTGCCATGTTTCCGTCGGAAACAATGAGAGACTTTAACTTCTACAGCAGTAATTTTCCTGCGAATGTGAGAAGGAGACTAGACTCTTGAAATTCAAAGATAAGATAATGTAGGGCATTTGATATTGGACCGGGGGAAAGTGGCGTGGGTCATTGGCACAGAATGCCTATTTTAGGGTGGGCTTAAATGTGGTCTTTTAATTTTTGCGCTTAATTTTTAGTAACAAAAATATCCCTTAATATTAAAAAAAGAAAAAGGAAATGGCAAGACATAATTTTTTATTATAATATTACACTGATTACGTCATAAGCTCAGTTCAAGACTTATGTGCAAAAGACATAATTGGACATGACAATTTTTTTTAAAACCTGTACTGAATGAATTATATACCATGTGATTAATGTTAGAAAATTTAATTACTATAAATTTGATACGAGACAAGATATAAAAGTTACTTAAATTTATGCCACAAAAATTAGAGATCAATAAGAAATAGGTCAATCGTACAGAAACTTCAAGTTCCCCGACCTGTTTTTATAAAAATCAAACAACGGAAGCCCATAGTTTTTATGACCAATCTACCCTCAGCAAATTAATAAAATACCGTCCAAGAGCATTTAAACCTTCAAACTCCACAACTCCATTTTCGCATCCCTCCCTCCAGATTTTATTTTTCCCACTGACACCTTTCCACTACTCTAAGTAACTTCTCTTCTCCGGCGCCGCCGTGGAAAGCGTTGTTCTAGAAGGTTCGTCGTCCTCTCTAGTTACTCTTTTCTCGCCTTTTCATGAACTCTGTTTACATGCGTTTCGGAAGTATAGTAGATCCCGGGCCGGATAAACGAGAAGGATTGTTGTAGATGGACGACTAGGTGAAAAATGAATAAATTATGACTAAAATGAGTGTAATGTAAAGAGTTGATTCATATACCTGAGGAGTAATTGAGTTGTGTTTGTAATGTGTTGAGCCCTAGCATTGGCTTTCGTAAGAAGAATGTGAGGGTTCAAATGTAGCACATTTAGTCATTGTTTGTTACCAATTCTGTAGTTTCTGTGATAATGAAGTATTGATCAGTGTTTGTGAGTCTGTGTAACTTGATATTAAAGGAAAATACTTACATATGTTTTTGTCAATACATTGATGCATAAAATATGTAATCTACATAAACTTTTACACTTTATCATGGTTGATTAGTATGCTTTGTCCTTATACGTTGCGCTGTAAGAAGCTTGTTTACCTATTACACTGTGTATGTACTTCGAAGTTTGTGAATAATATGTTTTCCTTTGGAGGTTTTCTCTTGGCTCGAGCAAATCTTTGAAGAACTTGTTAAAACCTTTTGTGTATGGTCGGGTAGAGTAATTGTTTTCTATGTATCATCATGATTGATGTAAGAGATGTGTCTGGGGGTTAAGATAGAACTAATTGGACTTTATGTGGCTACTTTGGAAGAAAAGGATAGATAGCTTGTATGACTCGTACAGCTTGAGGCATGTCTTTTATTTGTGAAAAACTTTTGGTGCACCCACGAGCTTCCTACTAGTATAGATGTTATGACCGGAGGTCATTGTTCGAGAACCATATTGTTCGTTAAGTCTCTATTTTTTAGTCTGCTTCTATGTTATAGGGTTCTCTCGTAACATCAATACACTATTCCTCTTAAGAAGGAATATAAATTCCTCGAGTTCTTTCTCTCTAAAATCATTTCTTTTCTGCAGGTTTATTTTGGATGAAAAGATTGGGTTGGCCAACCGAAACGTATTAAAATGCTAAGATCTTGGTGGCGAACATGGCAATGGATACTGATTAAGTTAAAATCTATGGTGCACGTGTCTGAGTTGACTGAATGGTCAAGGTTGCTGAGCTAGAAGCAGCTGAAAAAGATAAAATGAGGGAGAAGGTGCAAAACATCATCTCTCATGTAATAAACTGCTTTGGTAACCGACAGCTGACTTACAATATCTCAGAGGAACAGTTTGCGGAAGCAGGGATACTTGTTATTGAGCGCCTGGCTTTGGTTATGGAGAGTTTGCATCTACCTTTGATAATCCAGAGTCTGTCAAGCTGGGACACTGCAAACTCATTGAAGAAATAATGATTGACGAGGACAACTTGATCTACTTTCCTGGGGCCGAACTGGGTCAGGCTGTACAATTGTCTTGAGAGATGCAAGGTATGTATTAGCATCTTACTCTTTCTTTGTCTTCAACTGCCATTTGTTTGGAGGAAGGATTGATAGGGAGGGGTCTCCAGAATGGTGTCATCTCGTCTCCAGCTTAGTATCTGTTTGATTTTCGTGAAGGTTGTAAACTACTTGAAATCCACTTGGGGATTAACTATAATGCATCAAGTGATTTTTGTTCCTTGGGAAATGAATATTTAATAAATGAGTTCTAAAATCAAGTTCTCTTTGGTCACCGTGATGGCCCATGCATGTGCTGATGAAAATCTCATCTTTAGTGGGTTGAAAGTGAAGTCTGTTTAATTCTGTGCAATGTTTTATATATGAACTCTGTCTCTTATTCTTTTGGAGGCCCTCATGTACTGGCTGAAGCTGAAAAATCTCTGCATGATGCCTTGTGTGTACTGTCTCAGACAGTAAATGACAATTGAATTCTACTTGGAGGTGGATGGACCGAGATGGTGATGGCAAAGGCAGTAGATGAACTGAGCTAAAAAGACTCCTGGTAAAAGGTCTCATGCAATTGAGGCTTTCTCCCAGGCACTTGTGGCAATCCGACAATCATTGCTGACAATGCTGATCTGGACAGCGCTTAGCTGGTTGCCCAGCTTCGTGCAGAACACCACAAGGAAGAAAACAATGCAGGGATAGATGTCATCACTGGACAGGTGAGATGAGTAAACCCACTCAAAATGTCGGAATAATTAATTATGCTATCTTGTGATGAGTTCAGAACACAGTCTGTTCATGAAATTAGCTTTCTGTATTGTTTTGCTTGCTCAAATTTGCCCTTGCTTTTCTTCATCGAAGTCAATGCAACACTGGTAACAGACTTAGCAGGAACCCTGATGACGTTACCTGAACTGAATATTTGACCGCTTCATGCTTTCAATGGATATGGTCCTCATAATAAGGCACCTCTGTTTAATATTTTATGATCAGGATCTTTTAATTTGATTGGGAGGAAAATATAAGTTGGTGCCCTATGGATGCAGTTTTGTGTTAAGAAAGGCAATAACTTAATAGTTTTTTCTGTTTTTATTCAGGGGAAAAATTGAAGTACCCAAAAGTTAAAAAGAAACATGATTTATCTTGTATGGAATATGATTCCTTCTTTCAGCAGATTTCAGCTAAGAGGAAACTTATTTAATATGGTGTGCTTGAGTGATGGTCTTTGCATTTACGTCTTCTTTTGTCTTGGTTTAACTGAATCATACTTTAAGAAGAAAAAATAACGATTTGGGTTTGATTGAAATACTGAAACAGCCAATCTCTGTTGCCAAAGCAGGAAATGGAATGATAGTTTTATCATAACTGAACTTCTCTTTCCTTTGTACGGTTTAAGAGGACTCTCCACAAGGAAGAAAGCATCTTTTCTTTTCTCCTCTAGTTCTTCGAAAAAGAAAAATGACCATTCCATTTATTTTGTAACTGTTCTTTTTAGTAAAGTCTAACTGAAGAAGCCGAAACTCTCTCCATTTCTCTTTTCACCAAGCACAATTCAAATCCTGTGCAAATCATTGATTCTTGCTGCTTATTGGGAGTTAGGATTTTGCTAGAATCTAATCATCTTATCTGGCTTTTATGACAGGTTGGAGATATGGCAGAACTAGGAATATCGGAAGCATTCAAAGTCAAACAGGCTGTGTTACTATCTGCAACCGAGGCTGCTGAGATGATACTGAGGTTGATGAAATCGTCACATATGCCCCCATGGTGGAGGGAAGACAGAATGTAAACCTGGATTGGATGTGCTTAATCTGTTGAAATGTTTGTATTCAATCATGTTAAAGTTGTAGGTGACTGTAGATGAGCCAACTATTGAATATTGTTCTTAGTATGAGAGTGTACACACTGCATTTGTAGAAAGGTGTATTATGTTTCTATTGGATGTTTTGATTGAGTAAAGAGGCTTCGATATAAGATTGGCCTATAACTGAACATGTTTTGTAGTGCACAGTTACTACTGCACTACATAGTTTTATTCAAATAAAATAGATTTCGGGACATCACTTCAAAACCAACAATGTACTATGAGTTAACCCATCTTATCATTGCAGCATGATGTCGTTATACCAAAAGCAAAAGAAAAGAAAGTTGATAACATTGCAGAGAAGTTGTCCAATGACTTCGTGAACTGTTAGGATTTCTATTTTGTCTGACAGGAAGTACATAGCACTTCCATGTGTTACTATCTATTTAGCTTCAACATTTGACCTTCATACACTTTTTAAAACAATTAGCTGTCACCAAATGCTAGTACAAAATATGCAATTAGCTAGTTTCAGAATGACCAATCATATACTCCTATGTATATTCTTTTGAAGATAACTATGCTTCTACGATTAAACACTAGATAGGTTAACAATAAAAATAGTTTCTCCTGATAATTCGAGCTATAAATCTGTGCCTGAACTCTCCAATACCTTAACTGAAAAACAAATTTGTATCAGCTATAACAATAGATGAACCTTACAAGACTTATGAGGGCTTAGCATCTTCTCGATTTATCCGTTGTCACATCTTTGCACCTCTGGAAATGAGGATGTTTCCATATGGAAGCTCCTGTTCGACTTTTATGAAGTCTCGAGTGGCCAGAACTGCACATAGAATGGAGCAAACATTAATTCTCTCTAATGAGATAAGCTGGAAACTATGAAAGATATGAAAGAAATATGCATACCACAAGTCTGATAAAAAAGACATGCTGCTTGTTTCTTTGACATCCCAAGAGTTAGTTCATTCAAACATTCTGCTTCGGCTGATCCGGGAGTGTCAAAATGACTCTTTAGCTGCCTGTAGGCATCAGTTTATCATGTGAAAAATCAGTTAGTCAGATGATATATAATGAAGCTGGAGGAAGTTTTAGGAACTAATGGAAAAGGATTTACATCCTAATAGAGTCGGTCATCATGTCAAGAGGTTGAGTAATGAATGGATGTTGGGTTTGTGTTGGTCCGGTTTCCATCAATATCTCTGCCAAAAGAGTAAAGGGAGGTTCATAACAAACTAAACCACATTAAAGAAAATGACCAGAACTAAAATGGGAAAGTTATTCACTATTCACGAACCGTTGTCTTGTGTAAAACCATTTTCAGATAGTTCAGATAATCTAGTCAACTTGAAATTTGGAGTGGGGTCGTGCCATGGGTTCTCTTCTGCTACTGGTTGAAGACCATTGCCACTGTGCTTCGATGAAGAATGGGGTCTTTTCTTGTTGGACCTGAAGAGTTAACAATTTTGATCAATGTAACCAGATGCTGCTATATGGTGAGACCTTCGTAATTTTAAATAGAAGCAAAGATTTTGAAGTTTCCTATGGTACCGAGATCCATGATATTCATTATTTCCTTCTGTTATTGTCTGTATGATTCAAGTGGTTCATCTTTAGACAAATATCCCTCAACATATATCTACTAGTAGTACTAACCGGCTTGAATTGGTTACAGAATTCTGTGATAGTACACCATGACCAGATCCTGAGCTTGGAATGGATCTAGGCTCATCAGCTATAGATTCACAAAAATGTTAGCTATACCACCATAACAGATCGCCGAACAAATCATGGAGATTGGGAAATTCATAAAAAAAGTCGATATACCAGAGCCAGGTGTGGCCATGTGATCAGTCTCTCTCACTCCATTAGCCTCTGTTGGATGCAGTCCCATGTTTGTAAGATTGGTTCTGAGGTCCTCCATGAGAATTTCAGGTGGAATCTTGTTATTGTTGAGATTTGCCCTTTGTTTTTCTATAGAGATTCCTACTGCTGGGGAGCCTACACCACTTTGGAAATATTCGAAAGGAGGTTCCAAATTACCCATCCTTTCACCTGGAGATGTATAGGATGATTCAGGAGGATAGGGTGGAGAGGTCTTTCCTGCAAGTCAAATGTAATTACCATCTGTTTGTAGTTTTGGCAACTAAGAGTCTAATATCATGGATGAAAAAACAAACCAGAAGGTGAATCATGCGGAGGTTGGGTATTCCTCATCCATAATTTTAGGAGTGGTGCTGGATAGTGAACTTCCTTATTTCCATTTGTGAACAATCCTTCTAGTAGTGCAATAGGAGGCATTTCCATCATTCTGGCTATCTTCATAGAAGGCAAGACACTCAAAGTCTGCACAGAGCAGGAACTTAAGGTTACTAAGAAATGATGCTGCATCTTAGTTTAGTTAAGGTTACCTTCCAGAGAGAGATGCACTTGCTATTCTTGGGATACTCAAAGACTAGCCATTGATGTCTAAGGTTAAACATGATTTATTGTAGGATAAGACCCTAGTCAAATTTTAATTGCTAAGGTGCACAGAATGGAAAAATTGAGATGGGGAAGATCTAGACTTGAGGGAGGTATGGGAGTACCTTTCTCTTTTTCCTTTTTCTTGATGCAATATCTGAAGAACTCTGAAGCCAGGATTGATATATGTCACCAGAAATAATAGTTTGCTCATGATCAATTGCAAGACTTGCGGCCTTTCTTGCTCTTCGTCGAGCTGGCTTTGGCCTTTGTTGATCCTGCCGCTGCTACAATATCATGTCAAGACGTAAGATTAGTGCTGACAGTTTTTCTTTACATTATTTTCTAGCTCGGTTGCTTGTGGAGTTTCTACCTCAAAAGCTTCTTCAACTTCATCAGATTGTTGCTTCACTTGGTCCTCTGGATGTCTGTCAGGGATCTCATCAGCTGCAATTATGTTTCGCTCCATTCAACCAATTTTCAGAAATAACTAATTACCTAAGGAAATCTAAAGACTTTTACGAGCTCTACTCAATCCAATAGAGTTCTGTGCTTGAAGGAACTACATATGTAAACTGGAAGTTTAATGATAAGCAGCCAGGTAGCCACAAAGTATTTTAACTGATCTGATTGTAGGTAAGTACGACTTGCATTCATGTTCCTCTTTGAGAGGAAGGGTTTATTGCCAGAATGTCTCTATCAGAAAAGTCTCCCTTAAAGCGCACCAAGTGAAATAGTGAAACATCTTAAGTCCATCTACTATTTACATCTCAAAAAACTTCATTTATCTAAAGTAGAAGATAATAACACATTCTTACGTTGATGGGCATGTTCTCGAGGTGGAGATGGCACAGGAGTACTTGGGATTTGGGCATCCTCTGGCTGGGTATAATTCATTTGTGTTTCTTCATCCCCTTCAATATCAAACCTGCAGAGTAATTCATGCTTAAAAATTAATAGGAGGATAATAGAAGGAAAGCTTTGCAGTTAAATAAAAATGAGGCTAATTAGCCTCCTGTGATTTAATGATGGATAGTTTGGTTCACGTGAAGTCTTTATGCTAACTGACCATATAAACCTAGAAATACAGAGCCTACTAACTGTTCACCGTGATACCTCTCAAAATGATTGAACATATCTGTATGATGGGATTCAAAGTGTTCAGCGAGGGTGATATTATCTGGATCAACTGCAACAAGGGTTTCAGGATTGTTTAGAGATGGGCACAACAAGACAAAACTGGAAAACAAAGTAGCATTGACTAGGATATAGTTATATATTCTACTGTGATGGTGAAATTAGCATAATCTATGCTGATAGTGGGATCTAGGTATACCTTGATGCAAGTCCTTGGCAGGTTCCTCCTGTGCATTGGGTTTATCATAGAGATCAGCATTATCTAGTCTCTGCACATTGAACGTCCGCAAGTTTAGCTGCACTCTCAAGTAGAAATTACTAATTATGATCTTATTTTCACTAAGATTTCCTACTCTTATCCAAGTGGTATCAGATAAGATTGCCTACTCAACAAGGTCATGAACACTGACAAAACCCAAGTAACTTTTGATAGTCTCTCAAAAAGCTTAAACAACTCAAGAGTGGAAATAACATAGAACAAATTACAAAACATATGGAGTAACCAAAAGAAAGCGAAGGGAAATCAAACCACTTTATCATTGTTAACTTTCTATTGTTGAGCTTGCAAACTTGCTGAACAATGAAATACGACTTATTCAACAATCTAAAGAAAGCTCAATAGTCTAATTAGATCAGTTTCAACAAATTCCTATCTTTCCTAACAATTTTTGTTTCTGCTTTTGAAGTTATTTCGTGGATTGAGGAGGTGACAGTGCTTTCCATAATGTACCATCGTGAAATAGGAGGTTTGTTCGAAATCCATCATTGTGACTGTGTCTGGATTTCGTAACGTCTGTTCAATCTCAGGGAGTTCTTCCTCCCGATTCTCTGGCAGAGTAACAGCTGCATACCTACAGAATTGAAATGAAGAATGAAAAATTAAGTATCAACCTTAGGAAAAACAACTACAGGATTCACAGCATAAGCTGGAATTAAATAACCCATTGATGAAACTGACCCAAACATTGAGGGAAAGAAACCATAATAAATTGAGTTAATAATTCAAATGATTGGTGGCAGTTCATACTTTAGTTGTTAATTTACTGAAGCACTGTCGAAGTAACTGAAACTATTAAACAGTTGCTAAGATTCGCCCTTACAATCTCTGCTTCTCGGCAAAATACTGTGACCTCGAATTGGAGATGAGTTACTCACTTGGCTTGCGATTTACCCTTGGGAAGTAACGTAGGATCGGTAGTTGCTTTGACCTTCCAAGCTTCATTAATTTGCACCTGAAAATACCAAATCATAAATGCTGAATTTAATGAAAACAGAGCAAAGAAAGAGATTAAGTTGATTGGGATCGAAGACCAATGTTACTACCATGAGACGAGTCACATCCTCTGCATTAAAGAAAACATAAAAGAAAAAAAAAATGAAGCAATAAGGAAGGGGAAAGTAGGAGTAAAATGACGTAAAATTCAAATAGAAATGATGAAGTCGACATGGCAATTGATACCGTAGAGGAGTTTCACTTTGCGTTCGTAAACAATGACTACCCCACCTGAGATAGAACTGACGATTAGATATCTAAACCGAAAGCCGCAATTGCGGACAGTCAGTGGTTTTCGAAGCATACCCATGAGAATTCCAGAGAGCCTCAGAGCCATCGGGACAGATGGATTCAAGATTTGTTCACTGTGACAAAAGAAATTGCAGAAGATGATTACTCAAAATCAACAAGGAATAAAGGCAGTTCAACGTAGTAGTGGAAGAAAACGCATCACCAGATGTTAATAATATTGAGTTTACTAAGCTTTTTCCTATTGAGTTTCGAGTGTAGAGTGGCCGCCTTCCTTCACAGCAAAGAGAGAGATATAAACAACATCAATTTAAACATTCTTCGTAGCCAAATTGAAATGTGAAAACTTAACGTATACGAAAAATCCTATGAAGGAACTTCAACGAATACAGAACATTAGATACAGAAAGCAAAAGACGAAAAGAAGATCCACTACAGGAATTGCGATACATGAAAGTTTAAAACGCAGAAACGCAAAACATGTAGCTTATCTATATGTATTAAACGAATTTAGAATAGAAAATCAAAACAAAAGTTGTAGTAAACTGGATCAATACACTCATAAACAATTTGAATTTAAGCATTTTCCGAAAAGAAACGGATCCAATTCAACAGTGACAACTTAACATATAACTCATAACTTCAGATTACGAGAAATCGCGTGAAGAAGCTGCTGAGTATCATTAAACAGCGACTAAAGAAGGAAACATAAATCTAGCTCAGGATTTACAACATATGCAAGGAAAAACGCAGAAACTCCAAAAATGTAGCGTATGCATATGAAAATAACGAATTTCGGAAGGAAAAAATCGAAATGACAAGTAGTAATCGACAATTTTCACCATATTTGGCCGAGCGGAGCTTTGCGAGCAAGAAGCTGATGAGAGTAGAACATATTGCCGTCGTGGAGAAGGAGATTTCAGCACTGGTTTTGCAGAGTACTTGAAGCTAGAGGGTTTGTATATATATAGTGGGAGAGAGAGAGAGATCACATGCAAAGTGAGAAAGGTGAAAGTGTGTGTGTTTTGTGCCTGTGCGTCTGTATAGACTATAGAGTATACCCGCCATAACAGATGCGATTTCGATTGCATTTTCACAGAGTATATTGTGGGGCCCGCACCCTATTGAAGAATGAATGTTTGATGAACTCAAGTCACAGCTCAAGTGATGGAATTTCTGTGCTATCGTTCCTGAATGGCTTCCACGTGTCCCCTAGTGTTCTTGTTCAAGAGGCTTAATTTAATTGTTACAAATAAAATTTAAGTGATTACACTGAACCATAAAAGAACCCACTTAACATGACCATGAAAATGTTAGTAAAATCTAAAGCACAAAAAAGCCATCCTTCATAAAAATAAAGGAAAATATGCAAATAAAAATATTCTCTACGTAGCACATTTTCGAAATTTAAATAATTTTATATGTATTTTTTAAATATATTAAATTTTCAATTATTGCGACCTACAGTAATAGCAATACTAAATGTTAGAGCACGAACCTAGGAATGATCGTAACTTGACCAAAATGTAGACAAATCTTCATATCAAAATTATATGTTAGACATGATTACTTACTTGGATATTGTTAACTTAGTAATATTCTGCCCCTATGTATAATCAATAATGCTAGGTATATATAACGCATTTCAAGGGTTAATTTGGTATGGTTATAAAATCATTTGAAACTACTCGCGATTTGCTAGGTCTCTAATACTACCATCAATGATAGAATAGAATAACAAAAAAAAGAAGAAGGTTAAGTTAGAAAATTAAACGAAGGATATATGAATTTCATTTAGGCACATCAGGGCATGGTTTAACCTTTTGTTCTCCCATTTGGCCATGAGAACTTGAAAATAAATCATTCGGTGATGGAGTGTTAAAAGAATAAAGAGTGTTTTCTTCTTGAAAATAGACAACAAATTTTAAATCTGTAAAGCTTATCTAGTTGAATCAATCTATTTCAGTCATATTGTCTAAAATGTGAATCACACCCCCTCTGTTGTTGATGGGCAGATGTATAATATACTACTACGATTCAAAAATATGTTGGGAGTAGGTTTTGCAGAACGTTATTTCCCTCAAAGAAAAATCATCTCATTGATAGATTTGTAAAGTAACATGAAACTGTGATTTACATGATTACTATAATTAATTTTCTTGAAACATATGAAACTATATATATTTATTTATTTTCGTATTCAATCAATTTGAAGCTTGTTCATATAGGAGCAAGATGATCTTCTTTAGTCAATTTATTTTGCATCCACCTCTGAAGCATTTCCAGTGCTGCTTTGGGCTGATCCATTGGTACCATATGGCCTGCATCATGGACCTTGAGGAAAGTTAAAGGCCCGTGGTTCTTTTCAACTCCTTTCTCTACACCATCTACTGTAAAAGAAACTAATGGGGCTTTTCCAAAGGCATTTTGCCCTGACCATTTCATTGCATGCACCCATCTTGAATTCCCTGTCCATATAATAAACAAAAAGTTGAATGACCACACGTAAAATTAAAATTATCGCGTAGGTGAGGGATGAAATGAATCTTTACCGAGCCAATTGCAGATAAGGTCGTATTCCCCTGCATACATAAGTAGCTTGATACCATCTTCAAGAAGTGAAGGAATGCCCACTTCAAGATTCTTCATCCAGTCCAATTGCATTGCTTGGTATACTTCAGAACTACATGAAACAAATTCAATATCCCCAACACCAAGGGCTTGTCTAACTCTTTGATCATTCAGGAATGTTTCCATTTTCGAGAAGTCATAGCATAGATCACCCACACATCTCTTCCGCAAATCATAGTACTGCACCTCGGAAATTACAAATTCCATAACATGAGTTCAACTTATATACACTAACAGTATAGAGATTAGTAATTAACCGGAAAATAAGACAGATAACCTGCTACAACAAGCTAAAATTTACTAATGGTATTAAAATGAGATTGCTAGCTCTTACATTTTTGTCACCAACAATATTCATTATCTTGTTGAAGATGCTTGTACAAACAAGATATGCTGCCATACAAGCAACACCGCTGCGATCTTTTCCTGATATTATTTGCACAAAAAATAGCCAATGTCAACACTAGCTATTGTGTTGTATGAAGAAAGAAGAACTTTGAGAATCTTAAAACATATTAAAAAAAAAAGGAATTACCACAAAGCTTGATTGCCTGTTGACATTGTGGATATGTCTTCTCTATGGTATTGTAATCAGATTTGTTGATCAATTTCATATCCAGAGCAAAGTCAGTGTAGGCTTTGTACTGGATTTCTGGATCAGTGAGTCCATTACCAATGGCAAATCCCTAAACAAATGTATTTTGCTTAAGTTAGCACGATAATTAAGAAATTCAGACAAAAACTATCTGGCCATGAAGCAAAAGGATGGTATATTGAGACAATTAGTAACTTCCTTCGTCTTCGTTTTTCGAGAGTCAAACTACTTGAACTTTGACTAACATTTTAAAATGCAGTTTTCCCTCAAATTGACAAGAGAATACTTGCAACTTGTAGTATTTTCATACAATTTTTGAATGTCTATATTTGATTATATCTAATCCACTTTAGCTATGAAGACTAGTCAAGTGACTCTCGAAAAGCGAAACATGACAACTAATTTGAGACGGAGGAAGTAAAAAATACCTTGAGATTTATGTAGATTCCTTCTTTGTTTTTGTTTCCTTGGTGAACCCGAGAAGCAAATGCAGGAATGTAATGCCCAGCATATGATTCTCCAGTAATATAGAAATCATTTTTTGCATACTGAGGATGTGCCTTGAAGAAGACCTATATACATTATGATCAAAAGAATGAGCATTTAGAATTTTGAAAATGATAGAATTATTTCAACATTAATATAAGTTAATTATAAATTCAAAGATTTAGCTAAAAAGAGAATAGGAAGGAACCTGTAAGAAGTCATAGAGATCATTGCTTACGCCCCTTTCATCGTGACGAATGTCATCTTCACTGGAACTATAACTAAATCCAGTTCCAGTTGGTTGATCAACATATATAAGGTTTGAGACCTATCAATTTGCAATTTAACTAGTGTTACCGAGTAAATAACTCTATCAATATATTTTAACTTATCGTAATAGGTGTCTTATTTGCCCACTTAAACCAAGAAAATCTAGTTATTAATGTCAATAAGGTAAACTACTTTTGAATTTCCAAAATTCTAAAAGTCACAACTCATGAAAAGCAAATGTCAAAAAAATTAAAAAAGAAATGCTAGTAGGTGAAAAGGTACTTTGCATGATGGAGAAAGGTTGGAAATCAAATAAAAACATAGAGGGAATTCTTTTACACCAAGATCTAATTAACGTTTCGAAATTTAATTGGGTAAAATCTATAATATTATAAAAATAAAAAAGAAAAAAAAGAACCTTGTCCCAGCCAAAATCATTCCAGACAAGAGACATGTTGTCTGCAATTTTGAAAGGTCCATTTTCATAAAACACAGCCAATTCACTGCTACATCCTGGCCCTCCTGTTAGCCATATAACAACTGGATCATTCTTCCTGCTTCTCGATTCAAAGAAAAAGTAAAACATCCTGCAAAACATTTTAAAAAAATAATTTAGTATTAATTAACTATACCCGTGATTCTTTTTTAAAACATAATAAACATCTAATCCAATACAAACAGATAATTTTAGCATTAATTAACAATACCCAAGATTCTTTTTTCCATCAAAATAAACAGCAATAACGTATATAATTCCACTAGTGAAGTCTAAAAAAAATAAAACTTACTCAAATCTTATTCTTACATTTGTGAGGTAGAGAAACTAGTTAGGAGACTCTCCACATTTATTGTAATTCAAACAGATACTATAACACTAATTAACAATACCATGATTCCTTTTTTTGAAAAAAATAACAACAATATACGCAGCGTAATTCACAAGTAGAGCCTAAAAAAGTGGGATATATGCAAACCTTACATCTACTTACAAATTGTGAGTAGATAGACTATTTCTAATAAACACTCAACAAATTTATTCTAATTCAAACAGATAATTCAGCATTAATTAACAACACCTATGATTCATTTTAGAGCATTAAATTCAATTCAAACCTTGCATCTTTAGTGTGTGGAAGACGATAATAACCAGCATGATGGCCCAAATTCTGAACAGTGGATCCAGAATCACCAATATAAGATAAATTCAATTTCTTCTCAAAGAGACCCTGTTCAGTAGCTGCTGCTGAATCCTCTGTTGCCTTGTTGATTTCATGTTTAGGAAATAAATTAAGCTGTCTGATTAACTTTTCCGCCATTGTAATTGGAAATTTCTGAGCAGATGATAAGAAATTATCAGCATCATTAGATTTTGCAGTTGATGAAACAGATACAAAAAACAGAGTGAGAAAGAGAAGAGAGAAATACGAAGGCATTTTTGGTTAAGTGAAGAAATGGATTTGTATGCAGTTGAGATTTATAAGAAGGGAGAGGAGTGTGAAATGGGCATAAATAGGTGAGAGAGAAAAGTGGGAGAAGGGAAACGGGCGGTTTGGACAAAGTGGTCAAGTGCCAATTCTTCGGAGGGAAAAAGGTTCTTTTCTTTTTTTCTTTTTGGTCTTTTTATTTTATTTTTAAAATAGCCTAAATAGTGGTTCACATGTACTCCCTTTTACTTATCATAGTTTTTATTTGTAGAAAATTAATCGATATAAATTTTGATAATATTTTTAGATATATTTTTTCATCATAGTAATATGAAAAAAAATTGTAATTTATGTTATTATTTTTTATAATTTTTTAATATTAAAAATTTATTTTTTAAATATTAAATTAATGTAAGCTAGTTTAACTTAAAAATTTAGTTAAATTAATTCTCAAAAAATGCAACATAACAACTAAAAGATATAAATAAATTTGACACATCTTTTATATTTTTCTCATTTTGA